GGAGATCCTAGCTGATGAATCATTATCAGATATTAGTAAGCTGTCACTATTAGGAGGACGTGATATTAAGGTAAGAATCAACACACACAAACTGTTTGATACATTAATACAAGCACTAATAATCAAAAGGTCATATCTTTATTTCTTATCAATTACTCAGTCTTTGTCATAATTGTGGGTTGTCATTGTGTGGCTTTTACTACTAATAATATATACTTGTACATCTGTTAAACTCACCTTTCAGCAATACACTGCTGATGTATATCACCTTGATAAACAAGCACAGTGACAAATATCAGTGACAAATATCAGTTATTATTATTATTATTATTATTGTATAGGAAGTGATTGAAATAACTGAAGAATTCAAGACACCATTGACTCCAATAAAGCTAGGTATGTTATAATATGTACTATCACAATTGTCAAGTAGTGGGAGTGTAGACTGTACAGTGTATATACACATTATTAATTATTATTTTTATAGATATTAAAGATCTTGCTGATGTCATTAAAGAGCTAACAATACTCAATCATTTACCTTGCCATATATGGCATGATCTTGGCCTTCAGCTAGGACTCTATCAGCCTACACTAGAAGACATCAATGAAGATAATAATGGAGACTCTAAGAAGTGCTTCAGACAGTGTATGTCTGCCTGGTTAAGAGGAGAAGATAAAGTGAGAGAGAAAGGAGGTCCCAGTTGGTCATCATTAGCTACAGCACTGGATACAATAGAAGAGAAATCTATTGCTAGTTACATTAGAAATAAATATTGTCAATAATTAGTTAGTGGATGATTGTCTATAGTATTTCATTTTGTTCTGTTTATTATTATTTTTGCTGATACTTGCAGATTCATTTATTAATTAGTTGAGTTATAAAAGCTGAGCTGTCATCATGTACTAATTTCCCTATCTCTATAATTAGAATTATCACTGATAGTATCAAACTATGTTTATTAGTAACATTGTTATTGGAATAGTTACTGTTAGTTTCAAACTATGTTTATTATTAATGTTGTTATTAGTATAGAGTTACTATGAACTATGAATTATGACACCATACACTAGTAGATATACAAGTAGATCAGGAGATCCTTGCAGTGAACTATTTCCATGGTTAAATTAAATGCAGTGATACAGGTGATCGTATACAGCTAACAGATGAGAAGACACTGGTATCAGCTTGTAAAGTACTGGAGGATGGGAACAGACTCACTCTATGGGCTTATGATGCTACTGATACTCCAGCTGTAAGTCTATGTTCAAAAATTTTAATTACACTTTGACACTTCCTTGTTTACATGTACATGTACATGTATATGAATGATTTTTGATTAATTAATATTTTGTCAATGTTTGATGCATTGAGCTGGTATCAGTATGATCCCCTTCACTGAAGCAAAGAGGTAGAAATATCGGACATAGTCAGTAATTAATAATTATGGATGTCATTATCCTTTTAACCACAAAGTCACTGCTTCTTTGTTGTTGTTTTTGTTGTTATAATTTGTTGTTGTTGTGATATCATACTGAA